ATAGACGTTTATACACCATTCGATAGAGAATTTCAAGAGCTACATTTTGCACTATTTGTATTTCAAGATAGATAAAATCGACTTTTTGGCCTAATGTCCGCTTAGTTGCCCACTGTGAGAGGGATTCGACAAGATATGATCTTATAAAATCATATGAAATTTTGTGACTTCTTATAAGGTCGTATAATTTCTTACAGCTTCTTTCTGTGTTCAGGTCAAAGATTCATACTATAAGATTCTAGTACGATTTCGTAAAATTCTTATAAGAATTTATAACAAACATAGAAAATAATTCTTGATGTAAGATTTCATCAGATGTCATAAGATTCTTGTATGATTTTTATAAGATTTTATAAGAGAAATCCATTTCCATGCTTTTCCGTAAGATTCTATAAGATCTTGATCTAATTTTTTTTGACCTGAGTACAGAATCTTGTACATTCTTATGATAAGAAAAATCTTCTTAAATCTTATAAGAATCTTGCTACAAGATCATATGAATTAACCTTGTAAGATCTTATAGACAATTGATAAGAATTTATAAAATCTTCTAATTTCTTATCATATGATCATCGTATATGAATTCTTGGACCTGGATAAGTACACATACACTCAATAGATAGAGAATTGGAATTAAAAATAATGTCGAACACTATACAATGAAGAGTACAAGATTGATGCATGATTAATTAGTACTAGATAAACTGAAATTCACTGATGTTTATTTATAAAAATTATTTTTTTGAACAACATAAAAAAGTATTAAAAAAAGTTTTTACTGAATATTTTTCATTTCTTTCAAACCTTCAATTATTTTAGTGTTTGCATCTTTTATAATTTGAACAAACTTTTTATATTTTATATCATCAGTTGTAGCCAAACGTCGAATGATTGTTTTAACACATGGTAATTGAAATTTTTCTCTATTGGTCATTTCACATACATCTTGATCAAGTTCTTTTTCGGTACAATACATTTTTCCTAATTCCTGTTGAAATGTAGCCGTTTCATTTGACATTGATGTCATCATAACACCATGTACACGATCGAATGTTATCATATGTTTTTGGAAACGATCAGCGCCTTGACTATTGTAATAAGTTTGTACTTCACGAAATGATGGGCATTGTTTTTCCATTTCGGATGTTATTTTAGAACTTAAATCGACACCAAGACATATTTTGAAAAAATCAGCTTGACCCAATTCTAATGTTTCAAGTTTGTCGATACAACAAGTGGATGTTTTGCACATTAAATCGAGAATTTTGAAATACCAATCGGGTATCATCGACAACCAAGTTTTGGTAGATTGATCAATATCAGCTATATCTTTATCAACTGTTGATTGATCGATTTTACCCAAGACGGATACAATAAGTAACATAAAGACTAATGATACACGCATGTCTAAAATTAGAATATGTTGTTAATTATTTACGATAAAATAGTAGTGAAATACTTACTGATGAATAGTCAAAGTATTAAAAGATGTAAAATTGTTGTAGAAATGAATGTTTAACGAATTTGTTTATTCAATCAAACTTATGAAAATGTACATGTTTGTGACATCCTTATATAGTAGATGATTGAAATAGCGGCGTTCGTATTTCATAATGTAGTTAAAACAAATCGGCCTATCGAAATATTTTTCTTTCACAATTCAGACGTTTAGTTTCTATTCTTTTTTTTTATCAACAAAGCATTTCATCATTTCGTATAGAATCACTCTTCCTTTGTACACACACACTCTGTAATAAAGTGTAAAGCCATTGTACCCTCGAAAAATAAAATAATATTGTTATATCATCTACAATATTGTGCAAAATTATAGATTCAAGTGTTCAAATGCAGTTATTTGATCACTCTTGACCACTGTACTTTCTTGTATGAAAAAAAATCTTTATGAATAAATACACGTTGTCTACTTTTAGCCACACATAACTGTCACTAATAGTGGCTAAAAGTAGGATTGGTAAAAAATTTGCCACAGATAAGAAAATGTGTGAATCTTACTTTCCCATTGGTGAATACCAAACAAAAGGGAAAGAAGTAAAAACGATGTTGCAGAAGTATGTTTCTTGCTCAGAGATCCAAGAAAAAATGTGAGAAACTAATCGAATATTATATAGTTAGATTCAGATTTTCATCTAGATCATGAATATAAAATTTATTTTGAATAACAAGGCTATGGTAAATAAATAATCAAGCTTTTTATGTTTACCTTTCTGAACTATATGTAAAAAAGACAAGTTTTTCTCTTCTTTTGCTATACAGTGAGAGTGTCCACGTAATGTCAGGTGCTTGTTTTATGCTAGATTTATTCAATCTTTCAAATATCCACAGATCGGCACAACACAGCCGCCAAAACATATGCTCAAAATGTTTGTATATACTCAGAATTTTGAGCTCTATCCGAATCTCAATCTTTCAGAAGGCAGAAACGTATGCTTGGGGAGATATACATGTTTTAAGGAAATGTTGACAAAAATTAAAATCTATTTTTTAACTTAACGATAAAATATT